TATTGTTGAATTTGGTTTGCTAATCTTTTGTTGAGGATTTTTGTATCTATTAGGGTTGTTGTTCTGTAGTTTTCTTTTTTTCTAATGTCCTTACCTGGTTTTGATATCTGGGTAATGCTGGCCTCATAGAATGTATTTGGATGTTTTCCTTCCTCTTCTGTTTTTAGGAATAGTTTGAGAATAGGTATTAACCCTTATTTAAATGGAGTTTTTTGATTGCTCATTCAGTTTTGTTACTAGTAATCACCTTTTCTATTTCTTGATATACTTTTGGAAAATTTTGTTTCTTTGAATTTATCCATTTCTTCTACATTGTCTTAATTTGTTGGCATGTAATTTTTCATATCCTTTGTATTTCTATGGTGTCAGTTGTTACTTAACCCCTTCCATTTCTGATTTTATTTATTTGGATCCTCTCTCTTTTTTTCTTGATGAATCTGACTAAAGGTTTATCAATTTTGTTTTTCTTTCCTTTTTTTTTTTTCCTTTTCAGAGATCTGGCTCTTGGTTTCATTGATCTTTTCTATTTTTTTTTCTTGTCTCTGTTACATTTATTTCTGCTCTGATAATTATTATTTCCTTTCCTCTACTAATTTTGGGTCTTGTTCTCCCTTTCTACTTCCTTTAGGAATAAGTTTAGACTGTTTGAGATTTTTCTTGTTTTTTGAGGTCACTATACATTTCCTTCTTATATCTGCTTTTGCTGTATCCCAAAGATTTTAGACCATTAGGTTTCATTTGTTTAGAGGTATTTTTTAATTTTCTCTTTGATTTCTTCATTGACCCATTGGTTGTTTATAACATGTTGTGTAGCCTCCACATGTTCATGGTTTTTCCACTTTTTTTCTTGTAATTGATTTCTAATTTCATTCCATTTTGGTTAGAAAAGATGCTTGATATGATTTCAGTCTTCTTAAGTTTATTGAGACTTGTTTATTGAGATATATGATCTATCATGTAGAATGTTCCATGTGTACTTCAAAAGAATGTATATTCTGTTGTTTCGGCTGGGATGTTTATATATATATATCTTAAGTCCATCCTGTCTAATGTATTGTTCAAAGACACTGTTTCATTATTGATTTTCTGCCTGGATAATCTCTCCATTCCTGTAAGTAGGATGTTAAAATCCCTACTTCTAGTGTATTACTGTTAGTTTCTCCCCTTGTGTCTGTTAAAATCTGCTTTATCATTTAGGTGCTCCAGTATTGGGTGCTTAGATATTTACAGTGCTATATCCTGTTGTCGGATTCATCCCTTTATCATTATCATTAAGAGACTTCTTTGTCTCTTAATACAGCCTTTGTTTTGAATTCTATTTTGTCTGATATAAGTATTGCTACTGCAGGCTTTTTTTTTTCACTTCCATTTGCATGGAATATCTTTATCCATCTCTTCACTTTCAGTCTATATGTCTTTAGGTCTGTAGTAAGTCTCCTATAGGCAGCATATAGATGAGTCTTGTTTGTTTTGTTTTGTTTTGTTTTTGTTTTTTTAGAGGGGGGGAGGGGTAGAGGGAGAAGGAGAGAATCTTAAGCAGGCTCCACGCCCAGAACAGAGCCTGACTTGGGGCTCAAGTCTCACAACCCTGAGATCATGACCTGAGCCAAAAATCAAGAGTCAGATGCTTAACTGACTGAGCCACCCAGGCACCCCTGTCACCCTGTGTCTTTTGATTGAAGCATTTAGTCCATTTACATTTAACATAATTATTAATAGGTATGTACTTATTGCCATTTTGTTAATTGTTTTCTGGATGTTTTTGTAGTTCTTCTCCATTCCTTTCTTCTCTTGTTCTCTTTCCTTAAGGTTGATTACTTTCTTTAGTGTTAGGCTTGGCTTTCTTTCTCTTTATCTTTTGTGTCTGTATTACAGGTTTTTGGTTTGTGGTTACCACGAAGTTTATATATAACATCCTCAGGGGCACCTGAGTGGCTCAGTCGGTTAAGCATCTGCCTTCAGCTCAGGTCATGATCTTGGGGTCCTGGGAACGAGCCTGTGTCAGTCTCCCTGCTCAGCGGGGAGTCTGCTCCTCCAGTCCCTCTGCCCCTCCCCCTGACTCATATGCTCATGTGCTCGCTCTCTCATTCTCTCTCAAATAAGTAAAATCTTTATATATAATATCCTAAGTATTAGCAGTGAAGTGACCATTAAGCTGATGGTCACTGAAGTTTGAACACATTCTAAACGAGCTTCATTTTTATTTCCCCCTCCCTCATTTTATATCTATCTTATCGTATTTTATATCTTTTAATTTTTGTGAGTCCCCTTTCATAATTTTCTTCTAATTGTGTTCTTTCTTTTCGACTTAAAGAAGTCACTTTAACATTTCTTGTAAGGCCAGTTCGATAGTGATGAACCCTTTAACTTCTTTGTCTGGGAAAGTCTTTATCTCTCTTTCAGCTCTGAATAATAATCTTGCTAGATAGAGTATTCTTGGTTGTAGATTTTATTCTTTCAGCACTTTGAATATTTCATGCCACTCCCTTCTGGCTTGCAAAGTTTTTGCTGAAACCAGCTGATGGCTTTATTTGGTTTCCCTTGTATGTTACTAATTGCTTCTCTCTCGTTGCTTTTAAAATTCTATCTTTATCTTTAATCTTTGACATTTTAATTATTATATGTCATGGTGTGTATCTCTATGGGTTCATCTTGTTTGGAACTTTCTTTGCTTTCTGAAACTGGATGTCTGTTTCCTTCTCTAGGTTAGGGAAGTATTCAGCTGTTACTTCTTCAAATAAGTTTTCTACCCTTTCTCTCTGTCTTCTACTTCCAGGACCTCTATAATCCAAATGTTTGTTCACTTGATACTGTCCAAGAGATCCCTTAACCTATCCTCCTTTTTAAAAATTCTGTTATCTTCTCATTATTCAGCTAGGGTAGTTTGCATTACCCTATCCTCCAGATTGCTAATATGTTCTTCTGCATCCTCTAATCTGTTGATTCCCTCTAGTGTGTTTTTCATTTCAGTTATATTCTTCAACTCTGATTATTTTTCATATTTTCTATCACTTTGTTGAAGTTTTCACTGAGTTCATCCAGTCTTCTCTGCAGTCTGGTGAACATCTTCATGATCATTACTTTGAACACTCTATCAGGCATATTGCTTATCTCCATTTCATTTAGTTTATTTTCTGAGATTTTGTGTAGTTCTTTGGAGCATATTCCTGTCTCTTCATTTTGCTTGACTTTCTGTCTTTGTTTCTATGAATTAGACAGAATGGCTGCTTCTCCTAAACTAGAAGGAGTGATCTTGTGCATGGTTGTGTCTATGGAGACTGTGGGCTTGGTGACTTTGGCTGGCTGACTAGAGCTGTGGCTGGCTATTGTGGGCTGGAGGCCCCAGGGGACTCTGCTGGGGCTGTCTCAGTGGGATGCCCAGAGCTGAAGTTGGTGCAGGATGGGCAATCCTAGGGCTCTCAGTGCAGATGGCACATTGGCCAGACAGGTAAAGCTGAAGTGGGTATGGGCTGGGGTGGTCCCAGGGCTCTTTACAGAGAGGGCACCCTGGGAGTACAGCAGAAGGTTAAATGGGTATGAGGCCAGGGGTTCCCATGGTTCTTTATTCAGGGGGGCTCTAGTAGCGTGGCCAGGGCTGAGGCAGGGCATGGGTCAGGATGTTCTACGATGCTATGCACCAGGGGTGTGCAGTCATCATCTGGAGCCAAAGTGGTATGGGCCTGGACTGTTCTAGGATACTTTGCACCTGTGTCACCTTGACGAGATGGCTGGAGCTGTAGTGAGTGCTGACCAGAGGTGTGCAATGTGTGCTGCACTGGTGCTGCTTTGATGGGATGGCTAGGGCTGGTGTGGGTTAGGGCCCCAGAGTTCACTGCAGTGGTAGACCCACTAGGGTACCTGGGCCCTTTCCCTGTCTGCAGTATCAAGGGGTCGGGGGATTATTAACCATGGTGTTCACCAGCTCCCCTGACTTGGAGAGAGTTTCAGCAGCTCCCCTGCCATTTTGCATAGTTCTAGAACTGAGTCCTTTATATCCTAGTAGCTCTTTTAAACTGAGGATTTTTTTCTGTGCCCCAGGGTGTCCAAGGCTTGCTGAAGTCTCAGGCTGGCTAGGACATCCAGACCATACTCTCATCTGTGCTGGCAAGGTAGAGAGGAAACGTAAACCATAGCGTTTGCCAGCCCTTCTAACCCAGAGAGAGTTCCAGCAGCTCCCCTGCCAAATGGCCGGGGTCTAGGGCTAGTTCCTTTATATTCTAGTTGTCATTTTAAGCCACAGCTTTTTTTTTTTCTGTGCCCCAGGGCAGACAAATCTGCTCACCAGTCTCTCCTCATTGCAGTTCAAAGTGTCAGAGATGGTGGGGGTTCCCTTTGTTACTGTGTCTCTGTCTCTCTGTGTGGTCTCTCTTTTTTTGTGCAGAAGCTGTTCAGTCAGCCCTCAGTTCTTTAGGGGGCATTGCTCTATAATTAGGTAGATATAGTTTGTCCATGGAGGAGGTGAGTTCAGGGTCTTCCTACATTGCCATCTTGAACGAGAAAAATCTATGGTTGCGTGTCTTCTGCTTAGCAACATTATGAAAAACAGATTGTAGTAGCCAGATGGCCAGCATCAATCTCCCCAGTCTGTTTTCATGTCATTGGAGGGAGAGATACTTTAAGATGTCTGCCAAACTACCTATGCCCTTTCAAGTGTGACATGCATAAGTTTATCCATTATAGGAGAGAGGACCTAGGAGAATTTTCACAAATTAGCTTCTGCTGAATAGAAAATGAAAGGAATTCATTTTAAAAAATTAAAACTCATATATTTAAGTATTTCATGAGTAAATAGAGGTATAGGGCAGTTTATAATTATGATAAATTTTTGGAAATTTTGTCTTTTAAAGAGACCTGTTCTGTTAGGGAGGATGTCCAACTGTCCATGAGCTAAGTGACTGCTCTAAATACAATTGCATCCTTTATCATTTACATTTTTATCAAGACTCTCTTAAGTTGGTTTTTTTTTATTCTAACTTCTCCATCCATTGCTTTCCTTATAGAACAAAATGTGCATGTCTTCAGCTGACAGCAAGGAATGCCAAGGCTGGCCCCTTGTCAAGTAATAAAATAACCACTGGATATAAATATAAAAGACTACAGAGACAAATACCTACTGGGTAAGATACCTTGAGGATTTGTTGCAGGGTGTTTGTATTTTCGAAGGTGGGTACTTTATTGTTGTGGTCTGTAGTCTTATAGATATCATTAAATATTAATTTTATACCAGAAATCTGTATTAAGGAATAAAAAGCCAAACTTATATGTTGTTCTTGGAAATGGAAGTCAGAAAAAAAAGAAATGTAAGCACACACGTAGCATGCAGAGTGTACTTAAACACCTATCTGCTTTGAGTCTGGCTCTTACCCACTAGGGTTAGACTTTGGGCAGCTAGGAAATATAATTTCCCCATTAGGAAATATAATTTGCAAAGCTCATCTAAGAATTGGGAATTTTCAAACTTTCAAAATTGTTGTCATTAAAAGATACATAGAAAAGCTTTCTTCCTAAACATTCCTTTCCTAGACATTACTAGACATTTTTTAAAAGCTAACATATATTATGTGCCAGGCATAGCCTTAAGCACCTTGTAAATACTCATTTAATCATGAAACAACCCTACAAGATAGGTACACTTATATATCCCCACATTAAAAAATGGAAAATTGATAACTCATCCAACATCACAGTTAGTAAATGGCTGGAGCTATGATGAGAATCCAGGCAGTCTAGGAGCCTTTACACTTAGTCGGCCTCCTATGGTAATTATTAGTGAGGTAGCAGTATAAACTGCTTTTGCTTTTAGTTTAGGATATCTGATTGGTTTTTTTTCTTGTATATTTTATTGACAGCATTTATGAATGCAGCCTGTTGTGCAAGTGTAATCGACGAATGTGTCAAAACCGAGTTGTCCAGCATGGACCTCAAGTGAGGCTACAGGTCTTCAAAACTGAGAAGAAGGGATGGGGAGTACGCTGCCTAGATGACATTGACAGAGGGACATTTGTTTGCATTTATTCAGGTAAAGCAAAGGTTCATTATTCAAATTGCTGTAGTAAGATCTGCATTCCTGAATCTCCATTTTACTAGATTTATAGTAAGAACAGGAGCAACAATATAGAGGAGGACCATCAGAGGTGGGCAAGTGACTGGGAAATTGAGCACTGATGGGATGAGGAGACATCGGATATTCCAGAAAAGAAAGTCTCAATGATAAAACTTGGGTTATTGTGTGAGGCATATTTTTTTTCTTGTCTCCATGGCTACAGATGCTTTAGGATAAGTTAAGAAGACTTTTTGAATAAGAAAACTAAATGACTTGCTAGGATAAAGATTATCAATCAAAGACTATCTTGTTCAATAATTTGAATTCTTAGAATTTAACAGGTTAAGTCTGTAATAAATACCTATACAGGATGATTCAGGCAGTGATCTTCAAGCAGCTCCCTCCATTTCAGGGACTCGAGACAGTTGCCCATGCTCTAAGCAAAACTTCCCAACCAGTGTTTTATAGTTGTGCCATTACTGATTTTTTCTGGTCACAACCCGTAGGCCAGACACATCAGTCTTAGTAGTCTCAGCCATTTACCCTGGAGTATCAAGTAAAAATCCTCACTTCCTGTGTGTATCATGAAATGAGAAAGGTTGAGGAAACATGGCTCTGGAGCCAGTCTAAAGGAATTGTGCTGGACCAAGTCTTGGCAGCAAGGCGGCAGGACCAGAGCAACCATCCTTATCTGAAATTCCAGGTTCACTTCAGTGAGAGCAAGAATTCGTATAATTCCTAACAGCCACACTTGGATCCCTGTCACATACTACACAATTTGCCTATACATTCATCTCTCCTATTTCTCAAAGTCACTCTTTGATGAAAGTCAGCTGCCTTATATAAGGAGCCACATGGTGTCCTGGAAGTCTCATTGGCTTTGTCTGCATTACTAGGAAATGTACCTAAGGTATCTCTCTGATTCAGCTGCTAATTTTGACTTGGTCACTATAGTTTTGGGTCCCTTAAAAGAAAATGCATAAACTTTAAGATTTAATATTACACTAGAACTTAATATGAAAACAATAGGCACATATTACCTCAGATTTAAATAGGTCACTTTATTAAAAAATGTGGTTTTTTTTTAAAGATTTTATTTGAGAGAGAGCGGGAGTGGGGTGGGAGGAGGGGAAGCAGCAGAGGGAGAGGGAGAAGCAGACTCCCCACTGAGCAGGGAGCCCAACATGGGGCTCGATCCCAGGACCCTGGGATCAGGACTTGAGCCGAAGGCAGATGCTTAACTGACTGAGCCACCCAGGCACCCCTAAAAAATATGTAAGTTTTAACTGATAAAGCATTTTAACTAGACACAAAAGCTGCATTCTTAAGAGTGGAGTTCACCACGGGGTGCCTGGGTGGCTCAGTCTGTTAAGCGTCTGCCTTCCGCTCAGGTCATGATCCCAGGGTCCTGGGATCAAGCCCCACATCAGGCTCCCTTCTCAGCAGGGTGTCTTCTTCTCCCTCCCTCCCCCTGCTTGTGCTTTCTCTGTCTCTCAAATAAATAATTTTTTTTTTTTTTTAATTTGACAGAGCACAAGCAGGGGGAGCATCAGGCAGAGGGGGAGGGAGAAGCAGGCTCCCCACCTAGTAGAGAGCCCAACACAGGGCCCAATCCCAGGACCCTGGGATCGTGACCTGAGCTGAAGGCAGACACTTAACCAACTGAGCCATCCAAGCGCCCCAATAAATAAAATCTTTAAAAAATAAAAAGACTGGAGTTCACCTCTCTAATTTTCTAGAATCAATTCTGATTTTATTTTTATTACTGTAGCTAAATCTGTTCTCTTTCATTTTATACCAGAACAGAAAAGTGCTTTTTTTAGATGGTTGGTGTTTTTTCTCATATACTGGAAGATATGAAATCTCTTACTGGTCTTTTGTTTATTGTTTCTTACAAGAGTTTCCTAGGATGAGTTAATGTGTTTATTTTCATTATAGAAATATGGTACATTTCACAGAGTTCTTTAGTAATGGAGCAGATTAGAGATGTTCTTCTGTTGCTTAGCAATTTTTGTCTTACTAAACTCTTACTTTTTTTCTTTTAGGAAGATTACTAAGCAGATCTAACACTGGGAAGCCTGATGCTATTGATGAAAATGGAAAAGAAGAGAATATTATGAAAAATATGTTTTCAAAAAAGAGGAAAATAGAAGTTGCAGATGCTGAGGTTGAAGTTATCCCATTAGAACTGGAAACACATAGAAGTGCTGAGACTGAGGAGTGTCTACCTACGTTCAATAATAATTTAAAAGAGCCTGTTATGTAAGTAAGATATTAGGAACCCCATCAAGATTGATCTGTATTATTGATTAAGAATGGTTCTCTTTGTTTCTTACTCCCCCTCCCCCGAACTCCTATGTATCTCATATATCGGCTTGCTTCACAGTTGTAAGTTTAACTCTGAGAAATCTAGAATGCTTATATTTTCAAAGCTAGCCAACATACTTTATTTCCTGTGTTCCATTTCTGGAGTTTTACCTTTAAAAGACTTAATGCCTTTAATCAGAGTCTTTATGGATATCATAACTTTTGCTGTCCTTTTTATTTTCTAGCATCGTATTTACAAACCTTTTCACAGATTATTTTCTAAACATACTTCAAAAATGATTGACTTTAAAATTATTTCCTTCTTTAGTGGGGGATAAGCGTAGGTGTATTAGATTAATTTCTAATGGATACTTACATAACAGAGATATCTATATTTCAAGGTCCAATAAAGAGAATTTTTAGTGATATATAGATTAACTGTTTTTTTCCTTTTCAGAGAAATGAAATGTAACAGTATTTCAAGAATTCAATATCATTCAGTCATTAGAAGTCCTAAAGTGAAGACAGCCATTATTCAACACAATGGGAAAAGGATGGTAAAAACTGCAAAATGTAGATGGGGCCCTTCTGAGAACATTAACTGTGATCTCAACTTTCTGTCTTTTACTTAGTTCCAATTGTTTGTGTAACTTAATAATGTGTAGGATTTCTTTTATTATTTTGGAATGGGTGTACTCTTGAAATGTTAGGACCATGTTTTATTTACTTAGTGTCCTCCGTGGTCATTGGCATGTTCCCAACATAGATATGTAAGGAGAGTGTTGGTCATGATCTGACAATGTGTTCCACTGAAACTGAGAGCTATCCAGTTCTGAGAATTTATAGAAAAGCTAAAGTGTTCCAGAGTTGATATACAGAATAAGAAAAAAGATGGAGTAATTTAGGTTAAGGAGATAAGGTTGAGAGATGTAAGAGAAAGAAGAGACACAGCCCAATGAAAGCATCATCCAGAAAACACCATTTTACATGATAGCCTCTGAAGGTATACTTCTCAGTCTGTACTGAGAAAAATAACCAGTCGGAGACTATAACTTGGAAGCAAAGAAAGATGCAGGAAAAAGAACAGAGGAAGACATAAAGATAGTTCACAGTAGGGCTTCTAGATGAGAAATAAAAACTCTGCCCTAGGTGGTGTGCAAATATTTGCCCTCTGCCTAGTAATGTACATACAGTAAGTACCTCCTCAGGATCACATAATTATGAAAAGGTTAGGCCATCAGACCACATAGAACTGGGTTTGACCTCCAGCTCTGCTGCTTTCCACCTGGGTGACATCTCCATGTCCACATTCCTTTATCTGTAAAATGAGGATAATAGTATCTATCTCAGAGTTAAGAGGATTAAATGAGATAAGCTTCAGAAACTTTGTGTAGCACAATGCTTGACACCCAAGTGCTCAATAAATGTTGACCATTTAAGTAACTTTAATAATAATAATAATAATAATGGTCAACACTAGTTGAACAGTTAGTTGAGTGCCAAGTGTGGCGTTAAGCTTATCATCTTTTTAAAAGTTATCATTAACATATAAAGTGATTGCCGTGTATACAACTCATAAAGACAGGCAACTCCTTTAACCTTCTCTTTGAAGTAAAAACTAGCTAAAGTGTGCTTTTATCCTTGCACATCTTATAGTTGAAGCCAAATTCATAATATGGTATCAAAATTGAGGGATACAGACAGATGTCTTTGAATTTTATTTTAAATCTTAATGCCTAAAGAATGTCTTGATAAATAAAGTCTTTATAATATGTGGCTTACTAAAGTGCCTAGAAGTAGAACACAGCCGAAGGGGCTCCATTGCTCCAGAGATTCCTTATGGTATCAGCTTTGAGGCTTCCAAAACTAATGTGGTAGCTACAGCCAGATTGACAGTTGACAAAAGAGGTCTAACTGCTACATTAAATTATTTTCCTGACCTAGAAAATAAAGACATCTTACCTGTTCTCTTTTAAGGGATTTGCTTCCTCAGAGTCTGTCACCTCAGAAGATAATGATGGATTTAAACCAGCCCAAGTACATCTGAACTCCAAAGCCAAGGAAATGAAAAGTAGGCTTTGTTTCACTCTGTGATAGCCTCCCTCTTCTGCCTTTTTGTCTGTCTCATTCAATACCTGTGGCTTATTTTCTCAGACTTAGAACAAACAAGCTGCATTCATTATAAAGGTTATTACTTGTGTAGATCAGAGGTTGACAAACTACAATTTGTGGACCAAATCTGGCCCACCATCTGTTTATGTATGGCCCATGAGCTAAGATAATTTTTACATTTTTAAATAACTTAGAAGAATAATATTTTGTGACACTTAAAAATTATATGAAATTATATTTTGGTGTCCATAAACAAAATTTTATTGGAGCATAGCCACACTCATTAATTTACATATTATCTCTGATGACTTTCACATTATGTCAGCAGAGCTGAATAGTCACAACAGAGACTATATGGCCCACAAAGCCTAAAATACTATTTGGCCCCTTGCAGAAGTAGTTTGCCAACCCTTGGTCTATATGCCAACAATGACCCTGAGGCATTGCAGGAAGGAGTGGGGTAGACAACTCTGAGTCTACATGGTCCACAGTGTTACCTGTGGCTTTGGAAGCATTGTCCAAAGCAGCCATTTCCTAACTCTTTGTTAGGGGCTCCTTTAAAATTAAGATACATCATTCTGCGGTACTCCAGCCAACAGTGCTGTAGGGATGCTCAGCAAAAAGCAAAAATACTGCTATTCTGAGTGCTTGTCTTTCAGTGTTACCAGTCTTATAGTAGTTCATGTTACAACTTGACAAACCTGGATTTTGGTACTTTTGCATTTCATAATATCCCTCACTGGGGAGATACTGCTGAGAGATGACCCTTTTTGAATAACTGAGCCATTGCCTCTTTAGAGTTCCTTTGCATCTGTATCCCCAACTCCTCACCTGGTCTTAAAGGATGGACATTGGGGCTGGGGAGCAAGGCAGCTGCTTGACAGAAAAGGTCTATCAGAAAGGGCATTTATGTATTATAATTATTTCATCATCAAAGGGAAGGAAAATCTCTTCTTCTACCCATCTTAGGTTATCCAGCTGGGGCCTTGTAAGTTAGACTGACAGATTGACAAGAGAAAAACAAGCAGAAATTTATTACCATGTATCACCATTACCATGTGTATCACGTATGTAACACATGGGAGTACTCAGAGATGAATAATATAAAGAAGTAGCTTAGAGGGGTGCCTGGCTGGCTCAGTCGGTGGGGCATGTGACTCTGGATCTTTGGAGTTGTGAGTTCGAGGCCAATTGGGTTTGGAGATAACTCAAAAGTAAAATCTTAAAAAAAAAAAGGCAGCTTAGAACTTTGACTTATCTAGCATCTTTGCCAAATAACAATAAATTTTTAGAGGAGTAACAAGACAAAGGAAAAGGACCTTGAGTCTCCAGGGGCAGCATATTGTGGGAAGGTAAAATATTGGAAACCAATAGTGGATAAAGGCTAGTTAGTAAAGTTTGTTATGTAGATTCCTCTGGTTTGATTTCCGGGCTGATCAAGGTCTAAACCTGTCACTGGTTATAACTTTTGTCCTTCTTGGTAGGAGGAGGGAGGACACCTTTGTAAATTTATGTACTGCTTTTAAACAGATGGGGGAAAGTAAAGAACTTTTCCTGCATAGGCTACTTAATCACTCTTAGCTTAAAATAAGTCTTATGTCAAGGAAGCATATTTTGGCATGACATACTCTGATTTCCTTCACCATTTGATTCATATGAGCCATAATGAGTACTCTTGCTTTTGGTTCTTTTGTTATTTTCATTAACTGCTACATTAACTGCTAACAGTGTATGTGTGTGTGTGTGTGTGTGTGTATATATACATATATATATAAAATATATATATATAAAATCAGTTGTGTACTATTATGGTTCACAAGTAACCCATAATTAAAATATGAGAACATGTAGGAACAGCAGGCAATAACAGTAATGATTAGATCAAGAACATTAAGAGAAATACAATTTCTTTGTGCCACTAAGTTAGGTGGCACAAGTGACTTTAAAAAAAATGATTTTACTTATTCCATTTGACAAGCATTTACACTTCTGAATATTCTAAAAAATTATTTCCATTATTGGGTAAGAAAAATGATTAATGCAGTTCATCTTATTCTAAAGTATTATTGTTTGTAAAAGTATAAATATTGAATGGTCATCTAGCAAAACCTTCAAACACTAATGTGTGCAAAACCCATAGCAATACAGTTATTACTCTCGGGACTTGTTGAGGGTGACACCAAGAGGGTCTTCTCAGGCCTTTCATTGGTGTCCTAAAGGCTTAGAGTACTCCCTAAATACCTACTGTGTTACAAGTGTTTAGAATATACTTAAATGCAGATTCCAGAGTTGAAGAGAGGTAAGTCAGTTTATGAGGAGTAGAGATTAAATATAGTAGTGGCAGGAGGCAATAGGTACATTCGTAAAAAGGTAGTAGAAAGAAGGCAGACCTGGAGCCAGACATTTCTCAAACATCTGAGACTCTTCTGGGTTTCTTACCCCACTTCTCATTATATTACAGGTCAGGTGAATCTCTTACCCTCTCAGAGGCTCAAAGTTTTCATTTGTAAAATTGGAGTACTATCTACCTTCATACATTGTAAGGATTAGCAATAATTAAAGCAACTAGCATTTAATTAGTATGTTAATCACAGGACTGTTGATCAGCCAAGTATATTTGCTGACACTTCCTTCCAAAATATTTATTAGAGGATTCAAGCTCCTACCAAGTTAAAGACTCTGAAGACAATCTGCAGATTGAATCAGATGTGATAGATATAACTAAATGCAGAGAAGAAACTCCATCAGGGGGCAGATGTAACCAAGCAGCCACATTGGATAAACAGAATATTACAAAGGAGTTCAAGGCTCAAATGCAAAAGCCCCAAGAGGAACGATCTCCAGCATATCAAAACCATCAAGTCTTTTGTGAAAAAGAGTTCCCAAGTGAAACCAAGAATATTTCACCTGATTCTCTAAAGAAGTTTAATAAAGGGAATGTGTTTTTATTGGATGCCACAAAAGAAGGGAATGTGGGCCGCTTCCTTAATGTGAGTATACGGGCTGAGATTCACATTTCTAAACTTTTTTTCTGTGCTGCTTTGAATGGTTTGAAATTTATGTGCAGTCATGTAATTCACCTGCTATCAGAAGAGAAACAGATTCTGAAGTCAGAAAATCTTTTTTCTCTTTTTCATATTTTATTTAAATTCCAGTTAACATACAGTGCAATATTAGTCTCAGATGTAGAATTTAGGATTCATCACTTAACATACAAAACCTAGTGCTCATCACAAGTGCCCTCCTTAATATCCATCACCTGCCCCCCCCACCTGAAGTCAGAAAATCTTTAAAAACAAAGAACTTTTTCCTTGCTAGGTGATCTGTTTATTTGGTTTGTTTCTTTCTCTCCTAGTTAGGAGGATACTTGGTTAACAAGAAATAGAATCCTTTTCTTTCTTCTTCTGTCCCCCAGCTGCTATTCTTTATTCCACTTTGACTACTTCTACACTATTGCCAAACATGTCAAGAGCCATTAAACATGTCTGGAGAGCCATTAAAGAAGGATCCCCAGCAAAGGACTGTCATGGCTTTATTTCCTGTCAGTTACATTGAAAGTGGCTGCACCAGAACAGTATGGTTGATTTTACTCTCCCAATCAGCACACCACCTGGACTCTTCTCTTGTTTAGAGGAGGAAAAAATAGAAATTTTCTTTCTCTTTCTTTCTTTCTTTCTTTCTTTTTTCTCTCCTTTCTTTTTTTCCTTCTTTCCTTCCTTCTTTCTTTTATTTTTTTTACATAGAAAATACATTAATGATTTAAAAATAGAAATAAGATGAATACATGAAATAAAAAGCCATACAGAATACATACATACAGCTGAACAAAATTCTGTTTCAAGATAGCTCCAAGCCTGCCTCTACTCATGGTAGATGAGTAAAGGTTACCAGCCCAACTGAAAAAAATGTATGGACAGGAAGTTATCATTGAAATTGAATGGTGGCAGGCATGTTCAAGGAGTATTGCTGGGATTTGGTCCTTTTATGAATCTGGCATAGGTGAATGTGTGGAGATGGGTGGTAGTGGCCAATAAACAACAATATTGGAATGGTGGTAATTGGATAAAATAGTATCATGTTAAAAGCCTTGAACAAGGATAACTAATGGTTATGTTCAGCAGAGACATCAGTTGCTTACATATGTCCCCTTTCTGGAGGGTCTGTTTGACAATGGTGTAAAACTCAGTCACATACATTCTTCGTATTAATCTTTTTTCTTCTGCTAAAAAAAGATACCCTAAAAAGTAACTATGCCTCTATTCACCTTGTCCCCACTCCACTCTCTATATGGTAAAATCATTTTTGTTACTTTTTGTGTATTCTTATAGTGTTTCTTTATGGAAATATAAGTGAGTATATATATTCTTATTTCCCCCCTTTCTTACATAAAAGCATATTCACTGTTCTGTGCCTTGCTTTTTAAATTAACAATGCACTCTGGAGATCTTTCCATATCAGTACACAGAGTGCCTCATTTTGTGTTTGTTTTTGTTTATAGCTGCATAGAGATATACCAGAGTTTATTTAACTAATCTTCTTTGGATAGACATTTGGGTTGTTTCTAAACAATGTTTAGAATAGTAATGTTTTACTATTAAAAACAGTGCTTGTGGCACCTGGGTGGTTCAGTCGTTAAGCATCTGCCTTCAGCTCAGGTCATGATCCCCAGGTCCTGGGATCGAGCCCCACATCGGGCTCCCTGCTCAGTGAGAGGCCTGCTTCTCCCTCTCCCACTCCCCCTGCTTGTGTTCCTGCTCTCACTATCTCTCTCTGTCAAATAAATAAAGTCTTTAAAAAAAATTAAAAAAACAGTGCTTAATGAATAATCAAACACATAGATACATGTACATATATATCTGTGGAATACATTCCCAGATATAAGATTACTGAATCAAAGGATAAATGCATTTATAATAATGATAAAATTGACAAATTATCTTCTATAGAAGTTGTACCATTTTGCATTTCTACCAGCAAGATAAGAATATCAGAAGAGGGCTTTTCTGATTGAGTTCCTACTATTAAAAAATTACATTCTATGATACTTTACAATATAGGTCAGCAAAAAAGGGAAAGAAACAAAAATAAGTGAGACGTGTTAGAAACAGAATGGTATTTTAATGTTTCAAAAATAAGGTACCAACTCTTTACTATATCTAACCTCTGTGTTTATGTATTTATTTTAACAGCATAGTTGTTGCCCAAATCTTTTGGTACAGAATGTTTTTGTAGAAACACGTGACAGGAATTTTCCATTGGTGGCGTTCTTCACCAACAGGTTTGAAATTTCTTTATGTGATTTAATTTTGAGATTGTGAAAAATAACAATAGAAAAATATTTTTAAAAATATGTGTGATAGTCCCTGCTATCTGCTACCCAAAATATTCATTTATCCCAAACTGTTCCTAGTCAATAAAATTTTAAACAGCTAAAATTTCAGTCCTTATTTCCTGTGAGAATTCCTGAAAGGACTAAGGATGGTAGTTCTGACCCAGTTCAGTTCAGGGAATAAATGATGTAGAATGCTACATCTCCTGTAATTCACAATTGCCTCCAACTATCACACCACAGGCCTCATACCACAGATGTCATCACATCACTGGGTTCTACTGTTTGCAAAACACTTCCTTTCTCCTGGATATTGACAAGTTTCTTACTTAGGATTTTGGTAGATTTGAAATAAAACTCAAATGATTATTCTTAATAAAAGAGCATTCCTAACTGGGGGGTGTTAGAATAAACCAGATTTTTGAAGATTTGTGGTGATGTTAATAAATTGATATCAAGTTTGGTTCATTTGGTAGTTACTCAGAGTAATTTATGTTTGCTTTTTAATTTCTACTTTCTAGGTATGTGAAAGCAAGAACAGAACTAACATGGGATTATGGGTATGAAGCTGGGACTATGCCTGAGAAAGAAATCCTCTGCCAATGTGGGGTTAATAAGTGTAGAAAGAAAATATTATAAATCTTTAGCTAATGCCTATTGATGAGATTAGCTTATCACGCTGCAATTAGAGCCATGCAGGAGAACCTTCAGTCATCAGTGGAATTAACTTGGGCTGTGATCCATCAGGAGAATTCTTCTCAGTTTACCCTTGTCAGGGAATTCATTTGTATGAATTAGAAATGCTAGGAACAAAATAAGGACATTTTCATATGCATAGGCTATCTCTTTATTCTTTCTGCTGTTCAACTTTACACAAGTGGGATGAAGTGTATATTTTATATGAAATACCATTATACAGTTTGTAACTTATTTGTAAATTATATATTAAGAGAAACAAATGTTACAATAGAATTCAATTGTTCTTATTTACTTTTGTGATTATTATCTTTGAGTTCATGCCCCCAAAGGGCCAAATTTCACATCTTTACCTACAAAATTTATGCTTAATTCTTGGCAAATAATTTACCATCATGAGCCATAAGGTGGGCAACACAGCCTGAAGAATATATAAGAACTAACTTTACGCATATTACTTCCAAGTATTTTAACACTAGTTGGAGAAGCTCTGGCTGCCTGCAACTCTGTCTCATCAAACCATTTGAGTGCTAAGAGGAAGAAGCTCTCCTATTGGGAGGGTTTTGGCAAACTCTTTGAGATGGAACTTCTTTTCCACAGATTCTCCTTACTACTCCAGTACAAGCATAGACAAGAAAAGAGGGAAGAGAAACCCAGAGGAATTGGAATATTTTTGTTCTAGGTAGAGGAGAACCATAAGAAAACAGAAACTAGTCAGACTTGGCTTATTTAGGCCCTCTAGAAGGGATTGTGCTGGGCAAGAATTTCACTTAATAAAACAAAGCAATTCCACTGAGTTTGTAAAGTCTGGAACAGCTTCTTGGATTCTCCTGGGTATGATGTGCAGATTGTGTTTGTGGAGAAAAGGGGAGTAATACTCTGCTATAGGTTACCCAGCCCTGATCATGGAGTGGAAAAGGGACTAGGAATCTCCAGGTGTCAAAACTAATTTTATCCATAACAAAGTTGTACATTTGGCTGCCAGGAACTTCCCTCTTGGAACCAGAAGAAGAATACTAGCTCAAAAAGAAGTAATTAAAAAGTTCTGGCTTTTGAGAAGTTTTATGTCCTTTTTCTTTCTTTTTCTCTATACTCGATTCTGGGTTTAGTTTGGTTACTGTTCAAATAAAACTGTATTCTAAGTTTGGACCCAATTTAATTGCTTAAAAATATTGAACTAGATGAAAATTTAACTTGAAATTGTTTTAGAGAATGGGAAACGGAAGAACTAGGAAAAGGAGCAAAAACTTATAACCTAATAGCCTGTTAAGATGAGGAAAGTTAAGTCCATTTATTCGCAGTAAAGATGTTGGAATTTTAGACAGTACACTGAAAGTGAAGATACTTGATAAGTATGGGAAATATTTTTGTACATAAATCCTGACATCTTGATCTGTTTCACAGCTGTCACCTTCCATCAATGTCCTAGAGATTCCCTTTGTCTCATGTCAAATCTGTTTCCAGTTAAATTCCATTATTTCCCTTTTCCTTGGTTTACTCCAACATATTGGTGAAGGACATCTTCCAGTTGTTTTTGAAAAGGAAAATTGAGAGGTAATTATTTTGAGACCTTGCATGTTTGAACATGTTATTTTACCCTTACACTTACTTGATTGCTATTTTTTCAGGGTATAGCAATTCTTGAGTAACCTCTATACACAATTTTGAAGGCTTCTGCTAGCTTCCAGTGCTGAGGCTATGAAATCTGAAAATGGTCTCCTTTCTGGCTTCCATGGTGACTACTAAAGTCAGGTGTCATTCTGTTCCTTATCTTTTGTATATATGACCAGTTTTTATCTCTCGTGAAGCTGACAGAATTATCTTTGTCCAATGTTCTATTTCTGGTAAGGTCCATTTTCATCCTTCATCCTGAGTGGTTGGTGGGCTCTTTCAATCTGAAATCTTTGTCCTTCAGTTCAGGGAAATTATCTTGAACCATTTCTTTAGTGATTTTTCATGTGTTCATTCTTTCTTTCTTTATAGAATTCTTGTTATTCAAATGTTAGACTTCCAGGATTGGCTCTCTAAATTTCTTTTCTCTCTCTTTTTTTTTAGAGTTTTGATTTTTTTTTTTCTAGTTTACTTATTTAAGTAATCTCTACACCTGATGTGGGGCTCAAACTTACAACCCTGAGATCAAAAGTTGCATGCTCTTCCAACTGAGCCAGCCACATGCCCCAAATTTTCTCTTTATTTTCAGCTTTTTGCTGTACTTTTTGGGAGATTTTCTCAATTTAATCTTCCAATATGTCAGTTGTGCTTTACTTTTTCTGGTCTCATATTCTTAATTTCTAGAGCTCTCTTCTCTGGATTTCTTTTAACAGCATCCTGTTTTGGGTTCATGTTTGTAGTATCTTATCTCTTTGAAAATACCATGATGTGTACACACACATTCATATCTGTATTCTTCCTGCAAACCACTTCGAAAGTTTGTTTCTTATTTGTTTTCCCTGTATGTATCCTTTGGTCCTTGTTTTTCAAGTTATAGGCTTTCCTCAGTTTGTGATCTTGGCAGTCTACACATAAGAGTAGAACCCTATAAAAGGCTGAGATTGAAAGCTGAGAGTGGGAGATGGGTCTCTTCAAGTGTCACATCATAACTGAGCTGAGCTATCAGTCTCCTCTCTTTTAGTGCTTTGTTTGGCTGATTGAAGGGCAAAAACGTGGCTGCTGGAGTGTGTTTTTATTTCCCCTTTGAGCTCTATTCTTCTGTAATCCATTTCTGTATTTGTCAAGACTATCCAAGCTATCTTTTTACATACTGTTTCTCTTTTCTGCTATCCCCAGTTTGCCTCTCTTCCCTTTAAAACCTCAAAATGCAAAAAATAATAATAAAACCTCAAAATGCAAGTTTTCCTTTAATTCCTCAGCAAACCACCAACTATTATATGCTTCTTTTCCAAAACTTTTTTTTAATCTGTAATTATATACATTTGTGTTCTCTACATGTATATTTTGTTACATGCACTGAAAACCTCGTCTTGTATGGTGCTGTGTACCCCATGGGTGCTAAATAAAGATTTGCGACTCGCAACTGGAATTACAGTTGGTTAATTCTGCCTACGTTTATGACATACCTATTTAGGCCAAATTTGGTGTTATACAATTTTTAGAAGAAACGGGTAATCCCTCAGAAGAGCAATCACTTCTCCAGCTGATCCCAGGGGTCTGGGCCACCTTTCCTCCCCATCTGGAGAGGAAAAGTGGGGATCGCCTGCAAATTAAAAAAGAAAAAAATCAGACTCAGATCTGTAGAAGATGAGAGCTCCTATTTGAATGAAAACTCCGCCCGCAAACCCTACGTGTCTCTTGCTCAGAACTTCCCCTAGGCAGGGGAAATCGGTCGTCGTAGCTTTTACGAAAACGAAACTCTGCAGCTGCCCGTGAACTTCCGGAAGTGCTGGCGCTGCGCGCAGCCACCGAGCACCCGCTGAGGTTGCAGCCATGGACCAAGTGTCGTCTCCCATAGCCAAGTCAGTCCAGGAAGCCAACCGGTCCGAGACTCAGGACGCCCAGGACCAGCTCTTCCACCCCACCGGTGAGTACCGCCCGAGCGCATGGCGCGCGCGCGCGCACACGCTGTGGCAGGGGTGCAGTGTCCCGGCAACCGCAGGGCGGGTCCCCGGGCCTGCTCGCTGGCTGCTGTCCTCCACCCCCACCCGCCTCATGAGCCCCTGAGGCAGCGCTGGCGAGCAGGGTTAGTCTGCATTCACCTCCAGCGGCCCTGGGGGCAATTCCGCGGGGGCTCTGCGCCCAGACCGCTACCCAGAGCTTCACGTGCGACGGTGTGTCTTCCGCTTAACCTCTCCCACTGCTGATGGACCGCCTGTTGCTACTGGGAATTCCCACCACTGGGGATTCTCACCACTGGGAATTCCCACCACTGGGAATAGAGGCATCAAGGGAAGTCGACATCAACTCGGGTGGGTTTACTCTCTGCGTGCAGTCCACCCACTCCTAAAACTGTTGCCAGAGACATGGCATGGGAGAAGTAGGAAGGGAGGTGGACCCCTTCTTTTCAAGAAGGGGGTCTCAGGAAGCAGTTGGTGAAATTCTTGCAGGGAATGTGACTCTTAGGGAACCATCCACTCCTTTCCATTTAGTAGTTCAAATCCTCAATGGCCCTCTCTGTGAATAAGGCAACAGTCTTGTGAGTCTGCACCTTCCCTTCACTCAAATAGGTGTAGAGCTCCCTACTGTGTGGCAGGCTCAGGACTAGATACTGGGGATACAGATTTGAGTTAGGAAGACCCCGCCTTAGAGAATTGAAAAGGCAGCTTGCATATGACCTGGTAAGAACCACAAAGGCTCAAATGAGGGGTTCCTAACTCAGCCTGGTGTTTAGGGAAAGCTTTATGGAGGCATAGATGGCCTAAGTTTTAAAGGACAAGAGTCAACCAGAGGTAGAAAGGGTGAAAGGGTGTTGGCATACAGAGGTGATGACACAAAAAGGCACCAGCCACGGGCACCTGGGTGGCTCAGTCATTAGGCGTCTGCCTTCGGCTCAGGTCATGATCCCAGGGTCCTGGGATCGAGCCCCACATCGGGCTCCCTGCTCGGCGGGAGGCCTGCTTCTCCCTCTCCCACTCCCCCTGCTTGTGTTTCTGCTCTCGCTGTCTCTCTCTCTGTCAAATAAATAAATAAAATCTTAAAAAAAAAAAAAGCACCAGCCACAAAATGTCACTTGGCAACCACAAGTCAAGCAGTTGCATGTTTTTATTCAGCTAGTGTTATCTATAGAATGTTATTGGAGATGAAGTTCTATCCTGACCTTTTCCCCAAACTCCAGACTGGTATAACCAACTCCATAAATGCCTAGAATGATCTCAAATTGAATATGTCCCAAAGAGAATTCTCATTTCCCTGCATATACCCACATGTTCCAAACCTGTTCAACCACCAGCCTTCCCCCTTCCATTCATCCAGTTGCTCAGGCCAATACCTTTAGCACCGCCCTCAGGACCTCTCTTTCTTCCTCACGTCCCATCTAATGCAGTCAGACCAGTCA